CCCAGGGCTGCTCTCCAGCCATTCTTCACCATTCTCTGCTCAGGCTGTCGTGACCACAAGACCCTTCTCTTTTGGCGTGTTCAGTTTGCTGAGCAGAACAATGCTGGAATGAATTTTCAGTAACTGTTTGCCCACAGTTGTTCTCAATAACAGATTGAAACTGCAGCTGAACATCTGCCAACACTTTATTTTTAAACTTGACTACCCTGTAGCTCACCTTTTTGTAACAAAGCATTAAATTTCATTTTAGGGAGTGCAACATGATTGGTTTTTCCTTTTTTCCTTCTCTAGGCAGGATGGATGCAGTAGAGAAGAGGGTCCATGTGTTTGTGCGAGTCAAGCCAACGGCCCATTTTGCTCAAGATATGATCAAATTCGGGCCAGACAACAAGGTAGAGAAAAAGAAATCGCGAGTGGGAAAGGTTTGGGATCTGATTTCTGTTTTGCCCACAGAAATGTGGAATTCTTCCATTCCTTAAGGCCACGCCTAACATTCTGGTGCACGTTGAGTCATGCCTTCCCGCTTGCCCTTCTCTGCAGTGGCGGTGGCTCCTGGTTTTGTATCAAGCCTGACTGTGCAGCACATCCTTCTTGTGATACAGTCGCTAGAGAAAACCCTCAAAAGGAGTGGGACTCTGATTCTTGAGGAATTCCTGGTGGTAACCACAATTCCAACCTAAGAGCTGTGGTACAGTCTCTTTCTATCCCCCGTTATGCAAGTTTTTCCTTGTGCCTCTCTTGCTTAACTGATGATTTCCCTGGGACACAAAATCAGACAGTGGAAGGTAAACAGGTGAGCTCAGCCACATTCCCTTTTTTTTGGGATATCTATTGCCAGAAGATACCACTTGAGTCTGTAAATCAATTCCGTTACTTGTATTCTGGTTTCTGCTTGTCTTCAGGTCTTCAGCTGGTGGTTTTTTTCAGACAATAACTGCGGAAACTCTTCCTGGTTATTGAAATTATCTTCATCTCTTGTTGGGTTTCAGAGTATAGATATATACATCAAAAAAGATGCCAAGAAAGGGGTGGTGAATAACAAGCAGACTGACTGGTCCTTTAGGCTGGATGGCGTCCTTCACAACACCTCCCAGGAACTGGCTTATGAGACCGTGGCGCAGAGATTGGTGTCCGAAGCTCTAATTGGCTATAATGGTAATTTATTCCTGGTTTTATTATTTTGACAATAAATGGAGATTTGATCTGGGGGAGAGATCGTGTCTGAGCCATGCACAGCTTCCTCCTGAGTTTGTTCTTCGGCTTTTGAATCTTTTCTAGGCACGATAATGTGCTATGGGCAAACGGGGGCTGGTAAAACGTACACGATGATGGGAGCAACTGCTGAGTACAAGCATCGAGGAATCATACCCCGAGCCATCCAGCAGGTACCGGATCTTACTGGGAAAAGAGGTTGGAAGCAATAACAGGGGTGTCTCGTGTATCAGCTCTTGCTGATACTCAGAAAAGTGCTTTATCACGGTGAACATGTGGGTTGGGGCAATCGCAGCACAGGGACAGGCTGGGTGGAGAATGGCTGGAGAGCAGCCCTGAGGAAAAGGACTTGGGGGGAGCAGGGGGGGAGGAGCTGGCCATGAGCCGGCCGTGTGCGCTGGCAGCCCACATGTGGGCACTGGGACAGGTTGCCCAGAGAAGCTGTGGATGCCCCATCCCTGGGAGTGTCCAAGGCCAGGCTGGATGAGGCTTGGAGCAACCTGGGCTATGGAAGGTGTCCCTGCCCATGGCAGGGGGTGGGACTGGCGGGGCTTGGGGCTTGAGGGTCCCTTCCCACCCAAACCGGCCTGTGATTTATGATTCTGTGAATATATTTTCTGTTTATCTCCATCAGTCCTTTTTTTTTTTTTTAGTTAATTTTATCAACATGACAACCATTAAAGAAATAAAGGAGCCTGTAAAATAGTTACTTTGTATCTTTGCTTTACTACACCGTGCCCTTGTGCACTGATATCGGTGATGTTTCAGAGCACTGAATCATAGAATCACAGAATGATTTGGGTTGGAAGAGACCTTAAAGCCCACCCAGTCCCACCCCCTGCCACGGGCAGAGACACCTTCCATAGCCCAGGTTGCTCCAAGCCTCATCCAGCCTGGCCTTGGACACTCCCGGGGATGAGACAGCCAGGGTTGGTGTTGGCTTGAAACACGCTGACTTTTTGGTCCCATTGCTGCAAAGTCAGGCCCCGGGGGCACATGTTTATTACTGCTTTAAGGGGGCAGTTCTGCTTATCTTTAGGCAGCAATACTGCAGAATGCTCTCCCCTCCCACGAAGACGACTGGCACGCACGGTGTGGCATAACACATACAGCCTGAAAGGGAGGTGTGAGGAATTCTGTAGTTATGCTTTGTTGTCATTTGCAGAGGTTCTTCCTGTTTAATTCTCCTAGCCCACATAAGGTACTTTCTGCCTCACAAACATAAGCAACCCTTCAAAATTGTTTTCAAAACTGTCATTTTGAGAAATCATCTTAGAATTGTTGACTTAGCCTTGTCAGCCCTCAGCAACCACAATGCAGAATTAGCCACGTGCACGCCGAAGCACTTCTGGCTGTTCAGAAAGTTATAAATATCTTCTCTGGAAAGCCAGAAATAGCTAATAAATCTGTCGGTGAACTAGCACCACCACTGACAAACGCTTTGTCTTTGTGCAGGTCTTCAAAGCAACTGCACAGTCCGTTGATCCATTTGTCACTGTCCGAATATCCTACCTGGAAATCTACAACGAGACCTTGTTTGACCTCCTGTCCACCATGACAAGCAGTGGCAGCAGTGACATGCAGATGGCTGTGGTGGACTGCCCGCAGGGTGTTTACGTGAAGGGCTTATCCATACATTCGGTTAGCCATGAGGAAGATGCTCTCAATCTCCTTTTTGAGGTAAGAAAACCCAAATATTATCCTTGTGTGATTGTTGTGTTTGTTGGCTTGTCTGAGGGAGGAGGCAGAGGAACAGGAGGTGGGTGGCCAGGACAGCTGGAGGGAGATTCAACCCTCCTTGTTCTCTTTATTGTGGGTAGAAGAAATGGTAACGCTGGTAGCCCAGGTTCTTGCAAGGAATATGTCCCTGGCACAGAGACTCTGGAAGTTGTCCATAGAGAATGACCACGAGCCGACAGTGTGCCCTCGTGGCCAAGAAGGCCGATGGCAACCTGGGGTGCGTTAAGAGGAGCGTGGCAGCAGGTCGAGGGAGGTCATCCTCCCCCTCTGCTCTGCGCTGGGGAGGGCTCCCCTGGAGTGCTGTGTCCAGTTCGGGGCTCCTCAGCTCAACAAGGACAAGGAGCTACTGGAGAGGGGCCAGCACAGGGCCACGACGAGGATGAAGGGCCTGGAGCCCCTTCCACACGAGGAAAGGCTGGGAGAGCTGGGGCTGTTCAGCTGGAGCAGAGGAGGCTGAGGGGGATCTCATCAGTGCTTATCCATATCTAAGGGGGGTGTCAGGAGGGTGGGGCCAGGCTCTTCTCAGTGGTGCCCAGTGACAGGATGAGGGGCACTGGCCATGAACTGGGAAGCAGAAGGTTCAGCCTGACCGTGAGGAAACCCGTCTTCCCCGTGAGGGTGACAGAGCCCTGACCAGGCTGCCCAGAGAGGGGGGAGTCTCCTTCCCTGGAGACTTACCAAAGCCCCTGGACTTGTTCCTGTGGGATCTGCTCCAGGGGATCCTGCTCTGGCAGGGGGGTTGGGCTGGATGATCTCTAGGGATTCCTTCCAACCCCTTCCACTCCATGAATCTGTGAGAAACCCTGGTTTTAGTGTGTGCCAGAGCAAATCAAGTGATGGAGGAAAAAATGTTAGGGTGAGACCACAGGATATAGTAGCGTTGGAGAATCCAGGCAGCACCGAAAGTGTGAAGGTGGCCCCAGAAGCTGCCTTCATTTCTAAAGGCTGATCTCACTGCCCACTGTGCCGGCTCCTTCAGCAGTCCGAGACCCCAGACAGCCCAAACCGCTTCTTTTCATTACCCCGGGTATCACCTGAGGGTGATATTAAGTCAGTGAATGACTTAGTAGAATATTTGGATGCTATGAGACCCACGATTCCTTCCACGCTGGAATTTCTTGCTGGAATTTCTTCCTGAAAGACACACCTGCCTGTCCTAGCTATCCCAAGAAAAGAGTCTTACCAGCGAATTCTTTGGCAGACCATTTGGGACGGTCACGGTACAGGTACGTCAGGTCAGATTTTACAGCAGGGAGGGTCACAGTGGGTTAGGTCTGTGATGGGAATTTGCTTCCTTATATCTGCATCTTTCACTTGTGGGTGCTTTAGCTCATAAGGAAACAGGTATAAATCATTTGTGGATGCAGGAAGAGTATTCTTACCAGGAGCCACGCGGTGTCCTTAAAACCTTTGGCTTGTCTTTTTAATAAGGGGACTGGGGTGTCCTAGCTAGCCTCTGTGAGTCACAGGAGCTCCCACTTTCCTTTTAAAGGGTAGAAGGATGCTGATAATGCCACTAAACTTGGGATCTGATGACGGAAGAAGCGCAAGTGATGCCTGGGGCTCCCTTCAGGCCCCTAGATGAGTTCTACCTGCGGTTCTAGGTCCTCAGAGAAAGCTCCAGGCTCTGAGGAGGCTGCTCGCTACGCCGTGGCTCTTCGTTTGTGGAGTGGGCTTGGTAGTATTTACCTGGAGATCTTCACCTTCATTCTTGCTCTTGGATTTACTCTCCTTAGTGTGGCGTCACTGAGCTTCCAGCTCTCGGTTTCTTGTCCTTTGAGACCTGGTTGGCTGTGAAACCCGTTGACAAGGGCATTTTGGTGCTCCTTTTCTGCCTCGCCAGCCCGGCAGCACGGAGTCCTGGCACTCCTGTCAAGCAGCTGCAATAGGATTTTCAGTGTTGCTTGCTTTTCCTGTAAGGAGGCATTACGCATTCATGGCTGTCATCTGTGTGTGAGTTTTCTATGACATTTAAAGCTTGGGGAGCTCTTTGGTTTTCTAATCATCAAGAAACCGAAACAGTCGGGAAGGTATTGCCTCTGAACAAGGCTGGCCTGACTGGGCCTCAAAAAGCCACAGGTCTGTGAGCTGAAGCCTTGAAAGTGGAAATGCAGATGATGTGGTCTCCAGGAAAAGGCACGATCGCGGTAAACGGTGACTTTTACCCACCGCGCCGCGAAATGCTGCGAGAGGCCCGTGAGGAAGAGAGCGAGGGGAACGCGGCGAGCTCCGACTGCTC